AAGAAGGAAGGGCCAGAAAGATTCAGACAAGAAAGCTGGGGACGGCAAGCATGAGACAGAGACACTGCACGCGCCCGCTAAAAAGTGCTGTTCATGGTATTTGCTTGCTTGGATGCAACCGTATCTAATATATCATGCAGCAGTTTTGACTGCAGGGACTTTCTCTTCTCAGTGGCCATTTCAGTCCGATAGCTTCAATCTAAATTACTTCTGGCCACCTTGACAAATTTTCAGACAAAAAAGGCAGGGTTTTTCAAGGTCAAGCAGAGCAGCTGTATGTAAATAAGGTGCTGCTATTTATACACAGCTCTCTATAGATCACCACTAGCTAAGACAGTTTTGGCCTTTGGCTTCATGATAGATGGATTCTGGTACACTGAGCAAATCAGAATTAACCAACACTGCTGCTGGAGGAGGAGATGAGCGTGTTTTTTTTAAATGGGGTCCCCGAAAGAAGCAAACTATATTGTACTGAACAGCTCAAAGAAACACCATCCACCATTATGGAGCCTCTGCCTTCTGCTAGCTTTATTTGACACTCCTCTACAAATTGATGATATGTTGTTTTGAACACAGTTCTTCTTAATGCTAAAAAATAATGGAGCAGCAAAGAACTGGGTTGCAAAGTAACATGAAGTGACCTATATTATACACACAGCATGCCAATATCACTGAATTCCCTTGGAATATTTTGAGGAAATGCTTTAAATGGCCTTGGAAAACTTTTGCCACATCAGTTATCAATCTACACACACTTATTGGAGCTTGGTAGAACTTGCTTCTGAGTAAGCAGGCACAGGAAGTGGCTGGACAAAATGTAGCCACACTTCCCGAGATCTTGGATATCTCAGCAAATAACCAGGGTAAGAAAAACCCTTCTGCCCCTGGACACAGGCCCTTCACACCAGTCTTTGCACAAGCTGGCTAGCCATCAGGGAGCCTTTCATTGACTACAGTTTCCCAATTAATCTAAAAAAGGGAACTATGGTTAATGGCTGAGGAACAAGTCAATGTATTAACCACCACCTCAGGCTGTTTTATCAACTCTGGTTTTTAATCAGTTTCTTGGTTAGAACAAAAGAGGAAACCCTTTTTTTTAGATTTTAAAATCCAACTAAATACAAAATGTACATTGATATTATAGTTTAACAGTGATTTTTTTTGGGGGGGAAAGGGGAGTATGGGACTTTATTATGCCTCTTAAATTTCTATTGTTCACTATTCTGGAATCTGTCTAGATGTGCAGCAAACAGATGACTTCCTGGTTTCTTTGCCAGCTTGGCAAATGAGTTGTGTTTGCGGACAAGAAGCTGAGGATGTGATCATCCAAATGTAGCCAAGGCAACAGAGTGAGGAAAAGCAGGTGCTTAACAACTCTATTTGCCATGAAAGGTTTCGTAAAAGTCTTGAGAACTGCCAGCACACTTGCAGGAAGTACTAAGTATTATGAGGCATGTGTATGAGAAGCACAAATGAAGCTGTCCAAAGCAAAACTGCAAGTCTGACCACCTGAACCAGGAGTTCTGCACCTTTAATAATGAGAGTTTTGTACCAGATAGCAGCAGCACCCAACACAAGTTTTATTGCCAGAGAAAGGGCATTCCTGGACATCTAATGGAGGATTAAAAAATCTAGATTAAATCCATACACTCCTACAATGGGATTCACAGCTTATTCATACATGCACAGATCCCAATTTGTGACCCTTAAACAAGAATTTAATGTGCACAGAAAAGGTGGGCTCTTTAAAAAAGGAAATAAGGACTCCAATGGTTCCCAGACTACACAGAAGAAATTCTTCTTACTAAATAAACCAGGCATTCTTATAGTCACAAGTCACATTCTCCATTCAGGTTGTCTACTTGACATTTGTCACAGGTTGTCACATTTCATGCTCGCTCTGCTTGCATGTCCCACTCTTGGAACAGACTTACTGGCACAAAAATGTTATGGTCAAACTGTAAGGTAGTTGTTCCATCTTAAACTTAAAAGCAGAACATACTGAAGCAATCTAAATACTACAGATTTCTATGGTGATGGGTTTTTAATCATATGTCTCCTATTTCAACATAGCCAAGTTTCATGCTACCTATGCCTACTTCAATGCAAACTGCAGTCTAGCAAGCATTTTTTCAGCTCTTTTCCTATATACTGCAGGCATCCTGCTCAACATTTGAAACATGGTGACTAAGAAGGACATATACAAAGAGACGCAACCAGTGTTCTATTTTAAGGTTATAGATTAAATGCATGAAATCCTTTGGAAGGCTTTACAAACGTAATTTTCCACCCCCCCCCCAACTCCCCCAGTTAAGCAATTCCCAGGGTGGAAATGGATCTGTGGAAATCTGCCCAGGAACAAGAAACACAAAAGCATGTTGGGCACCCGCTCTGTATGTAACATGACAAGCAGCAGAGTCAAATGAAGAGGCACACAAAACCTTCCTCCAACTCTCCATCCCTCCCGCACAAGCTGCCTCAGCCCCACTGCTCCGCAGGAACAGTGTGGGGAGCACCGATGAGTCACCTATGTTCTGTCCAGCACAGGCTTTCATCCTCCTCCAACTGCAGGAGGAAACGAAACTTAACACTTAACACTTGCAGCGGCAAAGGTCCCAGTGAAGAAGAGATCATGCAGGGCCACCACAGTCAGGAAAGGGGCAAGTGGGGAAGTGAAGCAACCAATCCCTCCTCTGCCACACCTTAAAATGTGCAGAGGAATGTCGGAGAATAACTGGAGCCCTCCAAAATAAACACAAAACAAGGGGGATGTGGGAAAGCTGCAAACGGACAATCAGCTAGGATGACCTTGGGCCTCTGCTGCAGCAGGCAGGCACAACTTGCCACCTGCCCTCGACTTGCCACATTTGCAGTTAAGTACTCAAAGCAGGCTGGTGGAAATCCCACCCCCTCTCCCGACAACTGGTTCAGAGTGCTATCTATTTCAAAAGTGGTACTGGAGTTACACTGTCGCTGCACAGAACCCCCAAAATGATCAAGAGAGTCATGCAAGAACCCTTGGAGAATGTTTCCTAAAAAAGGCCTTCATCACCAGACCAAGGTATGTGTAAGCAAGACATCCCTGTGGGTATCATATTCCCGCCCCTTGCAAGGGAGTAGCAGTACCTGGGCCCAGGTGCAGAACAAGCCAAACTCCTCAACCGCATGAAGCACCATTAGGCTGAATCACTTGGACACCACCAGGCCAGTGCATCCCCGAAGCCCAGTCCCTCTGGGAAGGGTTTCACAGCCTGCCTTGCTACTGCTAGACAACTGCCTCTGACACCCACTCCCGATGCAGCCACCCTCTCCCAATATGCATCTGAACTTCATGCCACTTTCCTTCTCCATGGGGATCTCCTTTACACAGGGGCCAGTGCACCAAATGCTGGGCCAGCAGCATGCGTCTGGGGGTCCATCGTCCACATCCAGGAGGAGGATGCCGCTGAACATCACCTGCCAGCACTGCCAGCCACAGCTGGCTTGTGGTCTCACACCCTCCTGAGGGGCCTCCCATTGCCTGGCTACTGTGCAAAGCAGGGCTCCAGGTTAAATGGTCCGCTCGCACTTCGCCACCAGGCGTAACTGGGAAGATCTTCATTCGTGATGCCGTCTTGATTTTCCACCCACCCCTAGCTAAAATCTAACCACCCAGCAAAGAAAATAGGAGGCAGAATTTTCTCGCACTTCCATGCCACCTTTCCCTGGCTCTCTTACTTACTCAGTGTAGCTTTCCTGTTGAGAATTTATGATGAAAGGGAATGGACTAGAGCACAAAGAGGGAGCAGGCAGAAGGACAGAGGATGCTTTCCTCTGGAGGTTCTCACACCACCCATGTGACCCTCCACCTGCTTTGCAGCCCTGCCCCACCTTGCCCCCCCCCAGCAACATGTTGCCTCCCACTGGCTAGGACCATCTGGCTGCACTCTGTGCCTGGGTCAGAAAGAATGACGATGAAACAGAGCGCTCCTCCTGGGCTAGACTAGGGGGTGTCTTCTATTCTGCCCTGCCAACCCTGCCTTGGAGCATAGAGGAGGAAGAGAGGGGCTCTTTCACTGGAGAATCTTTCAGGCTCCCTGCCCCCCATATACTATAGGAACAAGTTTTATTACAAGCAAAATGCATTGACTCATCTTTGCCTTGTGGCACAGGCAGGCCCAGAGAGAGAAGATGCATGTCTTTCCTGGAGATACTCCATGTGTGTGAGCGGAGACTTACTATTTCCTTGCCTTTTCCCTTCCTTTAAAGAGGGCATTTTGAGAAAGCCAGCAAAAGGGAATCGTTCAGATCGTTTATTGTAGATTTGCTTACTCATTTCCATGTGGCCCACAGCCCCAAACAGAATCCTCGGTCCTGTCCTATTTTGCCCTGAAGGGAAAAGGGCCATGTGTAGGGGCTTGTCTTGAGGAAGTGGGCACTGAGGGCCAACTTCTGTCCCTCTCTCCAGAAGTAATGGAGAGACAGTGCGGTTCAGTGGTTAAAGCTCTGGAGTCTTGTCCCTGCTCACCCACAAAGCGCACTGAGTGACTACAGCCTATCACACAGGACTGTTGTGATCACAAAATGGAAAGGGAAAACGGTGTGAACTGCTTCACCTCCCTTGCAGGAAAAAGGATAATCTTATCTACGTTCCCCGTAGGGGGCAAGGGTGGTCCTCTCGCCTCATGTCCAGAGAGAAGCGCGCGCGCACACAAAGAGCGCGTGTCCTTCTTGGGAGACCCTCCCTCAGCGTTCCCCTCCCCAAAACACGCCCCTCCCTCAACGAGGCCCCCCACGCCCGTCCTCCCCGGCTTTCCACCAAGCGGAGGGACCCAGTCCCGGGACCCGCCCCCTCGTCCTCCTCAGACCCCGAAGGGGGGCGTGCAGAGAGGTCCGTTTCCTCACCGGGGGGGGGGGGGCTGTTGAGGAAATAAAGGCGCCCCACGTGACCCGCCCGCCCCTTCCCACGCACGTGACACCCCTTCCCGTCGGCTCCTCCGCAGGCGCGCGGCCCCCCTCACCCAATCTCGTCGGCGCCCCCGACGCTGTTCATGGCGACGGCAGGGATGCGGGGGTCGGAAGGCCCGGGCTGGGCCCGCTCGGATGCCCCCGCGCGGCTCTCCTTCCGCCTCTTCCTCCTTCGACCGCGGGGGCTCCCTGGGGAGAGGCTGAGGGGAGGGGCGGCGGCGGCCGGCTCTGGCCCGCTGCCCGCCTCGCGTCTCCCTCCTCCGCTCCGCCGCCGCGTCCCTCGAGCCCGGCCGCCGCCGCCGCCTGCTTCTCCTCACACAAGAGGGCCCCGGCGACAGGCAGGCAGGCAGGCAGGCAGGCAGCGGGGGGCGGAGCGCGCAAGCGCGTGCGCAGCACCTCGCCCCTTCTGGATTCCCCGCTCGCCGTGCGCCGCCAACGGCTGCTCCGGACGCGGCCGGTCACTGCGCGTGCGCAACGGGCGCGCGAGGCCGTTTGCCTGCCGCCCTCTCCTTCGCGCCGACTTCTGCGCCCCACCAGCTAGAGCGGGGGCTGTTTCTGACTACGGGGTTTCCGGGAGGGTGAGACGGAAGAATGCACGCGGCGCCACCGGCAGTTAATTTCAATAATAATGAAGCGTGCGTAATGACGCACGCCAGACGGCCTCCGGCCGAGGAGCCGAAAGGCGTGCTGGGAGATGTAGTGTTTTCGGGCAAAGACGGGGCGAGGAAAGCGTCGTTTCGGAGGCGGGAAAGTTTCGATGGCTCCAAGGGGAGCGAGGGAGCCGCAGTGCGCATGCCGGCTGGGAGCGACTTGGCCGCAAGGCTTCGTGGGATTTGTAGTCCATTTGCCCTGCATGGTTGAATTGACAGGAAACGGCTTAATATGATTTCCCCGCTCCCTATTTTCTATTAGAATGTTATGTTTCGTTAAGGGAAAGGCTTCCTAAAATCTAAATTTTAAAGGCTTTTAAAAATTGGTGTGGTTAAGGTGGGCACTCTGTACATGCTCAGGAATTCTTCTATTCTTAATTCACGCATTCCCATGGATTTCAAAACAAGTTTCTGGGACAGAGTCCTGAAGCCTTCGTGCCTTTGAGGCTCTGCAGACTTCCTTGGGAGTAAGGTCTGTGACACCAAGCAGGTCTTCACGGTAAACTTTTTAATGTATTTGTTACGCTAAGTTACACATTTTAAGAAGGGAATCTGTTTGTTCATTGCACAGGCTCCCCTGAGACAAAAAAACTGCAGCAGTGTTACCAAACTCAAGCCAGTCAACAGCTAGGGCAAACCCAGGTGGACCCCAGACCCAAGTCAAAAGGAGCCCAAGACGAGACTTAGAGCCAAATCCAGCTTTATTCTAGTGCACTATAGAATAAAGGGAGATAAAAGGGAGCATTCAGCCCAAAGCAGGGTCTCAAAAGCTGCACCCCAGTACATGCGTTTTATACCCTAGGTAACCAATTAGGTCACCTAATACACATCTAATACATCGATACATCAATGTATGCACCCCCTCCCATGCTGTAGAAAAAGTTCTTTCTTCCCATGTCTATTTCTTATCTGCCTGAGATTCACACAGGCTTGCCATGTTCTTACTCCCTGCACATTTGCAACTTTCATGGCGGCTACAACCAGTTTCCACTGTCCCTTTGATTACTGTATTGGAGGTCAGGCGAGCTTGTTAGCTGTGGGTTACACAAAGTTCATTTTGTTCTTATCCCCCCTCCCTTCTGGGACAGTATAACTGTGGTGTTTTTACTATGTGGCCTCCCTCTGGCCAACTACTTTTGGGGCCTTTCTCTGGCCAATTACTCTTGGGGTGTTTTGGGGTGCTGCAATTGGCAACCGTTTCCCCCCTTCAAAGGAATCTTCTTATTAAAAGGCAGATTCCTCTTGATTAGGGAGGGAGGTTACTAAGCCTTTGCAGCTTTGCCTGGAAGGTGCAGACTGCTGGGGCAGGTGAGGGCCATTTGAACAGAGAAACGTGGAAGCAGAGAAGCGGAATGAGTCCGACCCCTGGCCCCCCTCATGACACGCCTACCAGGTGCAAGTCTGAGGAATATTAGAATGAATAATTGTTGACAAACACGGTCAGCAACAGCTAGCAAAATAAGGAGGAAAAGCACAAAATATAAAGTTTCAAGGTTTTGTAGCCAGTCTCCGTTGGAGAACAAAAACAACAATCCTCCCAATCCACTTTTACCAGAATGAAATTTAAAGCAGGTTGTAAAGCACTGAGCTTTTGAATGAGATGCTTTAAACAAACAGTTTTGTCTCCCACAAGTGTTGCAGACCCTGGCCTGGCTTGCCAGCAATGCAGCGTCCTGCAACTTTGTATGGCAAGTTGCTGAAGCTGAGCTAACTTGGTTGTATGTCTGAAATGGCACCCGCTGTTTCGCTAGAAACACAGAGAATGCAGAGGCTTGCACGCTAATGTCATGGTGATCTGAGAAACCCCCAGTTGGCGGAAGGCTGGCACAGAGAAGGGAACAGGCTACCCCGCTTTGGCAGTGTCTTCCACCAATGCCGGAACTACCTCTCCGCAGTCTGGGCACGCGCCCCGGGGAATTCTGCAGTAATTCGGAGGCTGGGGGCAATGTATCCAATGCCTCATCCTTCTGTAGGGAAAGCCATGAAAGCCCTCTGGCTATTCACCCAGTGGGTCCCAGGGTGGTTTCTGTTTGGCAGGCAAACCCGTGTTGTGAAACTGAGTCCAGAGATCCCCTGCAGAGGGTTTCTCCTGTGGAGTGTTGTATTTGCCAGTTATTTCCAGTGTGGGCCGCTGAGCTAGGCATATTTGCTGCCTTCCATCTTTTGGCAGCGCCAAGTTCTCTTGCACCCACAGTGGGCATCCCAGGCTGTACCAGTTGGCACTTACCCGCCCCATTTGTGAGAATAATGCACAGCAGGCAGCCTCCACACGCGGGTGCCCATCCAGCTGCAGGCCAGGCCTTTCCAGCTTAGCAGACAAAGCCACATGCTAGCCACCGCACCAAACTCTCCCACACACACACACACACACGGGGGGGGGGGGGGGCTATTCCAGCCTGTGCCCATTGGCTGTTGCTCTTTGGGTGCTGTAGAGATGCTGCCAGTCCACCAGACCAGGCCACCGTGCCTCAGTGGTCCTTGCCTGTGGTGGTTTTTCCCAGGGACCTGTGCAATCCTTTCCAAGCCAAATGTGACTTCTTCCTTTTTACTCTCCTTTGGCTGATCTGGGGTGGCAGTGCCCGCCCTTCTGCAATCTGCATGTCGGTGTTACCTGGTCTTTGGTCAAGATCTAGGCACGTGACATCTGCAGGTGTAAGAAATCCATGCTGGGTTCCCACCAGTGCTGCTGAAGCCGAAGCATTCTGTTGCACACTGAGCCAGTCCCCTCAGACTGAAAAGGTCAGGAACAGGGCATTCCACTCTTTTCTTTCCACAAGGACGTCTGGTGTAGGAGGGAGTAACAAAATTAACAGAAGTACACAGAGACAGCCAGAGTAGCAACTCCGAGAAACTCCCCCTCTTCCCTTCAGCATTATTATCTAGGCTACTTAGCGATAGCAAATGCAGGTCTCTTTGTTTTCAGTCTTCAAGCCAGACCAATCCTGGTCCCCAATAGGCTGCATTTGCATTTCTTCGGGGCTCTTCTCCCTTGCCCCCTCCAGTTGTGGGCCTTGGCTGACCCTGATGCCAGCTTTTTATAGTCCTGCTCTGTTACGCTGCTGGTCCTCCCTTGCAGGGTTGGCGTGTGAACAAGAACTTGAGGTCCTCCACGGGTTCCACGGTCCTTTGGTCTCCTTGTGGTGCGGGAACTTTCCTCAGCCTGGGGGCACTCCCTCCCATCTCACGGCTGTGTGGCGAGGGGCACCTGGGCAAGGTCCCCCCACTGCATCGGTGGTCTCCATGCAGTCCCGGCTCAGGCGAGTCAGCTGGTGTAAACCAGCAGCCCCCCCCCCCCCGCCCCACCTCCCCTGTGCCATTGCGAGCCGCAGGCAGCAACCAGCCAGTGGCCGCAGCTTCACCCACGGCAGGCAGCCGGGCACAGCCGGGCAGCCAGCATGGCCGCTCTGGCCTCGGAGAAGGAGCGACGGCAGCCAGCTAGCCAGCGCCACAGAAGGGTGGCGAGAGGTGCCTGCCAGGCCTGGTGCTGGAGAGGACCAGCTCTGCCCCCCCACTTCGCACCTCCATGCCAGGAGTTACCCCGGTGCCCCAAGAAAGCGCTGGCTGCCCGTTTTCCAAGCCTGCGCATTCAGATTTGGGGAATGGGAGTTTGACAAACCTCCTCCTTCCTTTCCGAGGCAGCTGGTGTTTCCCCCCTTGAAAGTCCGGAACCCAAATACTGCACCTGTTCTTGGGGGCTTTGTGCCTTCTTCCCGGAGACCCGATGAAGTCCAGCAGATGTGCACCGGTCTGTGGCCTCAGTGGCAATTAAAGGATTGTTCACATACTGCAGTAGAAACACCATTAGAGTCTCTAGTCCATTCAGACAAGTCCTTAGCCAGTGCTTGAGAGAAAGATGGGTGAATTCCCCCCCACACACCACACCCCCCGAACGAGGGTGGTTCAACACAGCTGGCTCTTTGTCCCATCCTGGCATTCTCATCTGAAGGCACAAAGAACTGGTTCCGTAGGAAGCACTCCAGGGCCCCACAACTGGGCAGGTGGCCTGATGCCCTGTGCCCCCGTCGTCAAGGATCCCTGCTGTGCCTCCCCCCCCACCCCCAATTGCGACAGTCACAACTGAGCAGACTGCCTTGTGTCCACCAAGAAATCCGTGTCCTCGCGTCCCACCCCCCTTCTCCCCCGGGGCTGTGGGGGTGACGTGGAACTCCCCTCGCGACTCCCCTGTTCTTCCCCCAGAGGCTCCCTCCCAAGCGGCCACGACAGCCTGGGCCTTGTTCTGGGGGCAGCCCCTTTTCCAGTGCCGCTCCTCTTTGCAGGTCGCCCGCCGATTCCTTCCCAACCTGTGAAACTCCAGTCCTGGCTGGCGGCGCTGGGACCTCCCGTCGCTCCCGGCCTTTCCTCACTCGCGCTGCAGCGCTGCCTTCATCGCCACTGCCATCAGATCCGCTTGCGGCCTGTCTTTCTGTACATTTCCTTTTCAACTATGCATCTTCTTAGCTGCTTCCAAAAACTGCACCTCGCCCCCGCCCCACAACATTCTCAGGGATTTGTACACAATGCTTAGTGCACAGGCACCCAAGTGCTTGTGGAACAAAACCTGATTGAGCAAAACAAAAACAGAAAGAAGTGGAGGGATTTTAAAAGAGCACATGCACAGACGAGCACACATACAAAGAGGAAGAGGAAAGCGGATAGCAGCGCTGATTACGAACTGAGTCTAAA